CTGTCTGTCTGTCTGTCTGTCTGTCTGTCTGTCTGTCTGTCTGTCTGTCTGTCTGTCTGTCTGCATGCCCGCCCGCCAAACCAAAACCAAGTATTGCACAAATGTTACGCTTCTAAACTACATTTCCTGAGCAGAATAATATCATACAGCCTTCTGACTGGCTCATGGCTTAGCTACCTCTTCCCCTCCCTCTCTGATCAGAGTGATCCTCCCAACCAGCTAGATCCCAGCACCATTATGCATAAAACCTTTCCAGTAGTGTCCTCTATGACTTCTACTTATTCACGCCATTGTGTATAGATCAAAAGCTCTCGTTTTGATCCCCTCAGCAATCTATAAAGAAATCAATGGACGTTGTATGAAAAGAAGATTAAACGTTATCTCCCAGCTTTATACGTGTATTTTCGTACACCGGGTGTTTGGACGTTTGTGTGTCAATGAATGAAACAGTTTCTCCTCCGCTTTTGGAGGGTTCGAATCTGAACCGTAGCCCGATCAATATATCGTTTAACAGGTTATTTAACTGCACTTCTAAAAATCGAAAAACCCGTCGATAAACTAACGGAAGCTTACAAAGCCGTTGGGGCATGCCGAACAGAAATAATGTTGTAAATTCGGAGATTAGAAATTCAGAAACACAGCCATAAGTACTAGAATAAAATGTCCCAGTATGTTGTGGGGATTATACCCGCGTAAATACACAAGGGGGTTGAAGAGGGTGGGTAATATTGTCACCAGTACCGAGCTAGCATGTACTAACTATATTTCTTTCTGGCTTCAGTGTAAATCGCTTTGAAAGCACTAAATTCCGGACCCTAAAACGGGATTAAGTTTAATTTGAAACGGAAATTCTACGGAGCCCAGGCATTGATCGTCATAATTTGGGGATCAAAGGGAAGATTGTTCAGTCTGTAACAACGCCTCTCAAACGTCAGAAATTGGAGTTACTACATGATAGCACTCCTGGCGCAACTTATTCCTCAAATATCTCTTTAACGGGTGAATCAATATCAACCATACTTTGCACAGCAGTTTGTATCAATTTGTCTTCACTTCACTTAAGAATCGAAAAACCCGTCGAGAAGCTAATGGAAGCTTACAAAGCCGTTGGGACATGTCGAATTAAGTTTCTGTTTGGAGATTAGAAATTCACAAACACAGCCATAAGTACTAGAATAAAATGTCCCAGTATGTTGTTGGGATTATACTCGCGTAAATACACAAGAGAGTTGGAGAGGGTGGGTAATATTATCACCAGTACCGTGTACTAACTATATTTCTCTCCGTCTTCAGTGTAAATCGCTTTGAAAGCACTAAACGTAGGCAGTTCAGGAGGCAGGATGCTTTGATGCTTTGGCTCTGCCTGTTGGGGCCAGACCGAGCTCATTGGGG